GGGGGGGGGGGGAATATACATTAAAAATTAATTACAAAAATAATAATAAAAAAAAAGTGCGAACGAGAGCGGTGGTAATTGCAACCGCCGCCCGTCCCGCTGCGGCGCGCGGCAGCCCCGAGCCACGCGCGCCCTGCCCGGGCAGCCACGCGCGGCCTCCACGCGCTATGCGAGGAAATCGCCGGGACATACGAACCTCCAGCATCCAAGTGGCGACCATTTTCCTCATATATGGCAAGATCTCCCTCTGCACGCACTTGAAGTAGGAGACGGAGGGCGCGCAGGTCTCCTCGGCCTTGAGCATGGTCTGCAGCACGCGGTCGGTGAGCAGGTTGGCGTCCAGGTGGGCCCGCCGGATGGTCTCCACCTCGCAGCACAGCAGCTGATGCTCCATGGCCGCCTCGTGGCTCCGGGCGGCTCGCGGCGAGGGCGGCGGGCGGGCGCTCACGGCTCGCGCTCTTCCCCGTCCAGGAGTCAGCGCCTTGGATGCTGCTCCTGCTACTGCCGCTACAGCCCTCTGGAGGCTGCAAAACTTTCTAACTTCCAACAAAACTCTCCTGTACGGTCGCTGTGACGTTACTGTTGTTAAGCAGAGATCAAAGCACGGGAGAGAATGAGAGAGAGAGGGAGAGGGAGCCAAAAGCAAGGGGCAGAGCCCTAAAGCCATCCCATAGGCTTCAAGTCCTTCCCCTTTGCCGAGCTTATAGCGAGCCGGGCTTTAATGCAAATGAGACAAGGGCTTGCTTTCTTCAAGGGCAAGGGAGAGGTGGGGGAAACCCAAATTGTCTCCTCCGTGTACCCTGCATAATTTTAAAAACGGCGGGCGCTGCAGCGGGAGCCAAATGATGAATGGGGCTAGGCCACACACAGGCACGCACGGATCCCCGCGCGGGGGGACCCGCTCGCGACGGGACGGGGCGCGACACGTCGCGGGGGCGCCGCGGAGGGCGAGCGGGCAGCGCCAGCGCTGCTGATTACCGGTTATGATCAGCGCTGCCACCGACAAGGCCCCGCGCGCGCCCTCGCTCCGCAGATCACGCTCCCCACACGGAGCCCCACAAGTCTTTGTAGTTAATCCCACGGGAGAAACTTTCTCCCGTTTCCTCATTCCGATTTTTCCCAGCCTGCACGTTGCTGCTGTACGTCGAAATTTTAAAGAAATTTTACAGAAATTTTAAAGAAATTCGGGCCTGCTCTCCCCTGCCAAGATGGTGCTTTTCTCTGCACTTCCTCTCTTTACCTCCCTCCTTTCACTTTCAAGTTTCCAGCCTCCCAAGGGGTACAGGGGTGGCAGGGCCTCGGTGGGAGCTAATTCCAGCCGCCGGGAGCGGCCGTTAACCCTCGCAGGCCGCAACCCCGGTGCGCGCGGCCACCCGGGGAGGTGTCTGTGCAGCGCTGCAAAATGGTGGCGTGCTCTCTTCCTCCACGTGCACGGGGAGCCCGTGGAGCGGGAGCCCTCGGGGGAGGCGCCGGCAGCCCGGGCCTCGCAGCGCCGCCGGGACACACAGCGCCCGCACAGGAAAACGCCTCGCCGCGGAGCTCGTAAAGAAACGTCTCTGTTCGACATGGGCTTTGTGGCGGGAGCTGGGCCCAGCTGGAACGTGCCGGAGGCGAGGCCAGCGCGTGGCTCCACGGGGCAGCCGCTCACCAGGGCCGCGGCGCTCTGCAATGGGGCTCGCGCGCTCCCCTGCTGCGCCCGGGGCGGCCCACGGCACCTACCCGCGGTGGCGCCAGGGCAGCACGGCCAGCGGGCCGCCCAGCGCGGCAAGGGACATGCGCGCGACACACCACCGAGCCGCACGGCATCCCTCCAGCATCACCTGTGGGGAGAGCGGAGGCAAACATCGCGGGGCACGCATGTCGTCGCACAGCTGCGTGCTTATGTAATGCCGCTGCCGAAATACCGGCCCGTCTTTCCAGCGAGCTTGACCACTCGTGTCTACGGCGCCTTCCTCTGCGAGGAGGCCCTGTCAGTGGCCGGGGATCTCAGTTCCCCTTGGGGGGCCGGGCTGGCGGCTTCCTCCGCAGGGGAGCAGCCCCCCAGGCCTGTCACGCTGCAGAACTTCTCTTTTCACGGCTCAGGCTAGCTGGGGAAGTTGCCATCTTGGCTAAAAAGCCATGCGGTGACCCCGTGCCGCCCAAGCACGCGGAGCTCGGCCGGCGATGGGCAACGTGGCTGCCGGGTCCAACCAACTCGGGCGGCCGGGGCCCCACGAGCCAGGCTCGCACCCACACAGGGCCTCCCGCAAGCTCTGCCACCGGAGCCTATGCTCGGCGCGCGGCCCCGGGGCCGGGACCCCCCGGCTCCCGCCGCCTGGGTGGGTTTTTCCTCGCGGCTTTCATTCATAAAACGCGGAGGGGCCAGGGGCGGCAGGGAGGGAGGGAGGCGCCGCCGCCGGCCCCGGTCCCGGGGGAGCCCCCGGCGCGGCGCGGGGCGGCGCGGCCGCAGGAAGCGCCCATTAGCATGAGCCAATGGCCGCCCAGATCTGTTACCGGGCGGACCGGGCAGATCTCGGCGAGCCCTCCCGGCCGCGCCAAGGGGACGGGCTGCCCTGCGCGCGCCGCC